AACAGAGGTTCACTCTTTACGGATGAAAGAGGTGCGAACAAAATTTTCATTGAAAACCTTGCCGAATCCCACTTGTTAGTGTTTTTATTGGAGCAGGTGTAATTGTAAACACCCTGCCACTTACAAGGGCATTCATTTTTTTAGTAATGTTGATGAGCTAAAGCCGAAGTTAACTTCGTTCATGTTGAATGAAAACTATGAATCAATTTAAAGTTTAAACTAATATTTTAAATCTTTAATCAAGTAAGAAAAAAAGAATACTCTTATTCAACTAATAAATAAACATTTATAGTTGATAAATAATTATGTTTTGAATGGAAAATTAAAAATATTAAATGCAACCAGACCCGTAATTACAGGAAGACACGGCCTGCCTGTATATAGTGCCTTCTTGCAGCAATCTTTCCATAATATAAATAATATAATTTTGTCTACAGCAATTCTGGTGTGCAAACAAACCTGTAAATAAATTTCTATTCACAGGGCTGAATACAACATAACAATTAATTTGAAAACTAACATCAATTTTTAATTATATTTGTAATAAATAAAAAAAATTACAATTTTGTTTAGATATTTTCTATTCGTACCATTTTCCTTTTAAATTTTGAGTTTTTACTCTAGGATTTTTACTATTATACTTTTTTTCTCCTCCATCAGTGTTTTCACATTTCTGTGAAGCATTTTCATTTATACCCGTTTTCTCTAATAAGCTATACATACCCATGCTTTCTTTTTTGGTTGGGCCATTATGGTCGGAGTCTTTAACGAAATTAACTTCTTTTGCCTGTTGAAAGTAATCATTTACAACAAGCAAGCAAATTTTATATCAAGGGTACTACCGTTTTCATTTTGAGTATCAATACTCCAAATGAAAGCAGTAGTACCCTTGATATAAAATTTTGTTAAACATGCTTTGATCTGTTTCTTAAAAATTTTTTTTATCTAAAATCAGTTTTAAGTTCATCAACAACAGTTTTGATTCCAGTTGATTTGTTCCTAGCTTAGTCAAGAAACGGTATGATCTCTAATGGGTCTGCTCTTACCTTTTGTAACGCTTTCAAAGTGTTTTAGTATGCACACAATTATTGCAGCATGATACCATTGATTTTCTGCAGGTTATCTGCAGATATTAACAATTCATGTTTTTGAGTGGTGATAAGAAACAATTTTTTACAAGTCACAATGAAAATAGGTTATAGTAAATATAACAACGGAATGAAATTCAACATAGAACTTACATAAAATATAAAAAATTACCCATTAATTTTGATAAGTAGGCTAACAAAAAAAAAAAAAACAATATAGTTTGCGGTACGTCGCAATCTATACTACACATGCCGCGGCATACGTCAATGAATCAAAGTAAAGGAGCAAATTACAAGTAGGGGAGAACGGGGTGAGATGGGACATGGGGTGAGATGGGACATGGCAATTTCTCAGCAAAAAAATTGTTAAAGCAGTTTTTTTTTAAATATGTGATAAGATTACAATAAGTATTAACGATAAATATTTATGTTATGTTTCCATATATTTTTATGTTTATGGTTTTTAATTAATCATTATTGTCTTATTCAATTACTGAAGAAATATAATTAGCAAATGATTAAGAGAACTATATAAAATAAAGATTTTCTCGCACCTACTAGTGATGGGGTGACTTGGGACAGGAGACTTGGGGTGAAATGGGACACTTTTCAATTTTATCAGTTGTTTAATTTGTTATGTTTTAATTTTTTCAATCAATTTTTTTTGTAAAGAAAATTATGTTTATGTTTATGGCAAGATTTCCATGTTTACTTTATGTTAATATGTTTTTTTTCTTAGAAAAAAAAATAGTTCTATAGAATTTCTTTGAAACTTTATCTTGGTTGTTAAAGACATTTTTCACAGTAAGTATTGTTTTTTAAAGAATATTTTTTAGCACTGTATTTATAATTTAGTTTAAATAAAGGTCTTTACTATTACCTTTTTTAAATTTAATCTCATTATAAGTTTTTAGGGTTGTGGTACTAATTTATTTTCATTAATAACATGGATTTTGTTTTATGCAATTTTAAAAAAACATAATTTTTGAATAATAGAGTGAGTAATGTGTGTAATATTTTTCAGATGCCAAGAAAGTACAAACGAGTGACAAATCAATTAAAGCCTGATGCTCATACAATAAAAGCCGCTGTGATGGCTGTTGAATCTGGTAGTTTATCACTACGAGCAGCTGCACTGGAATATAAAATTTCGAAATCAAGTTTACAGCGGAAAATAAATGTTAATAAAGAAACTTCTTACAATGACTTATACTTTGATGAACAACATAAATATATTTTTAATAAGGCGCAAGAAGATGAACTTTCAACTTATCTTCGTCAAGCATCTGATATGCATTATGGACTTAGTGTTAGAGAAACAAAGCAACTTGCATATCAATATGCAATTAAAAATGACATTAAAATACCAAAAAATTGGAAAAAGAGTGAAACAGCTGGAACTGAATGGTTTTATTTATTCTTAAATCGTACAAAATTATCTATTCGTATGCCAGAAGCTACCAGCCTTAGTAGAACAACTAGTTTCAATTGCACCAATGTAGATACTTTCTTCAAAAACCTTGACAGTGTACAGAAGCGCTATAAGTTTTCTGCTGATTGCATTTGCAATATTGATGAAACAGCTCTTACAACTGTTCATAAGCCAGTGAAGGTGGTTGCGGGTAAAGGAGTAAAGCAAGTAGGACAGGTAACTTCTGCTGAAAGGGGAACCCTTGTTACAATGATAGGTTGTATAAATGATCTTGGAAACTCTATTCCACCGTTTTTGATATTTTCCGTGTCCACTTTCGTAGCCACATGCTTAAAGGTGAACCAACAGGTAACAAAGGTGATGCTAATCCTAGTGGATGGATAAGTACAGAAATATTTTTGAAATGGTTTGATCATTTTATGCAGTATGGACATCCTAGCCAGCATCATCCATTACTTTTAATAATGGACAACTACAAATGTCATATATCAATTGAATTGGTGGATAAAGCTAAGGAAAGTAATGTTGTGCTCTTGACATTGCCACCCCATTGCAGCCACAAACTCCAACCACTTGACAGATCAGTATTTGGACCATTAAAGAAATTTTACAGTTCAGCATGTGATTCATGGTTAAAGGCACATCCAAATACTCCTATGACGATATATGACATTTCTGAAAATTTAGGGATAGCTTATGCGAGAGCCTTTACTTCCCAAAACATTCAAAATAGTTTTAAGGCAGCTGGCATTTTCCCGTACGATCCATATGTTTTTAGTGATGTAGACTTTTTATGTTTATATGTATCTGATCAGCCAATTCCAGCAAATATCTCTACCTTACCAGCCAGTTTGTCCAGCAGTATTTCTCAACCGGTCCAAAAAACAATTTCTGTCAGTATAGCTAATGTATACGATCAGACGACCCTGCAACTAAGGCTTATAATTTAAGTAAATTATCTGATTCGCAAATACAAACGATCCATACACCACTATCTATTGTATCAGAAGTTATTAACGACAAGAAAAAGCAAATAAGCACTTCTACCATTTCCAAAAGCGGGATAGAGGGTGACAAAGAGAAAAAGTGCAAAAAGAAAATGTTCTAGGTCTCTGGTATTGACTGACACACCAACAAGAAATGAACTAGTTTTAAGTTTATTAGAGCGTAAAAAAAAAAAGGAAGATAAAAATAAGAAAAAGCAAAAAAGTTACCCCTTGAGATATCAACGCAATATTGACTCTATTTAAACATCAAGCGACCTTGTTGAACAAAGTTATAAATGCATTAAGAATATCTTATTTTAATTGTACACAAATAAATGTTGTGTATTGTTATGTTATGCAAGAAGTAGAATAGACAGAATAAAATAATGCTCAAAATTATTTGCTTCTAACTTGTCCCATTTCACCCCAACATGGGGTGACATGGGACAAAAAGTGTCACATTAAAAAAACGAGGCCGTGAACTTAATTTGATGGTTAAGTAATGGGTTTTTAAATAATTTCCCATGACAACTCATTAGACTATAGTTTTAAACCAAATTGTATGGTGTTTGACAAAAGTATAAACCGCGGCAAACAAACAAATTTTTTTGTCTTACCTTTAATTACCTAAAAAAATTCGCCGAAACCAATGCTTCGGCAAAAACTGATCCTGGCTTCGGCTAAAGTGCCGAAGCTTCGGTACATCCCTAGTTTCAAAGTCCTAGTTTTCATTCAAAGATAATAACGTCCGAAATATGCGTAACACGCGTTTTATATATATACAATAGACCTAAAAATTTCAGAATACTTTTTTAATTTCAATAAAAAGTGATTGTGTTGGAAAAAAAAAAAAGTTGTTTGGATTCAAACGGAACCTTTTAATAAAAATATTTTTTTCACAAGTGGCAAATTAAGTTAAAAATTTAGCATTTTTAAAGATTATAAATATTCAAAACTTAAACTGTTATTATGAAATTTATTATATTTATTATATTTTAACTCTGCTGGTCCCTCAAGTATTTGTTGGGGAACACACCCTGAAAATTTCAAGTTAAAAGAAAGGAAATCGCAGTTGCTAAAAACTTCAACTTAAAAAAAAAAGAATTTTACTCGATATCTTGAATTTAAGTGTATGTAAAGACATATTTTTTGAATCTAGAATAAATTTCAAACAAGAAAAAAAAAAAAAGGCTTCTTAAGGGTTTTTAATCTCAGCCCCCTTAACGGTATTCTTTAAAATATGTAATTAAAATATTATAAATGTATGGTTAGTGAAGGAGTATTTACTTTTTATAGAGAAAAGAATTACTTGTGCGCACTAGTTAAATACCCATCATGTATCTTTGACCATTTTACCCTATTCAAAATGATCTATAGAAATTTAGAAAATAAAACAAGGTATTACGGAATGTTAAAGAACCTTTAAGACTTTTTGTCTACGCTGGAACAAAAATACTCAAAAATTCTACCCATTAAAATAACATGCAACAAACATTCTCTTAGCATTATCGTTGTTCAACTAAAATCATATCATACACATATTTTCATTATAATAACAATATTTACACGATGACGATCTGAAAGAAAAACATGTCTTCTACGAGCAAATTGATTTCACATTCTTCAAACTTATTTTTTGAGATATACAAACAGAAAAAAAGAGGTTTTTAAGTTAATATAATTACCTTGATATTATTTTTGTTAGTCATTTATTTTTTATAACAAAAAAACAACTTTCTTCTGGCGAAGTTTGACCAATCATCGACTGTGGTTTTATAAAAAAAAAAATTAAGGCCAAAAAAGATTTTGCGCATACTTCTCCGTTTAATTAAAATGTTAAATATCTAAACAAGCTTATTTTTCAATATTGGAGACGTCCAATGCGCTGAACTCGTTCGCTTAAAATAACGCTCCTTTCTTTTCTGGAAAATTTTTTCTAGATTGAGAATTGGCATAGCGTTAATAAAAATTAGTTCGGGATCAACATCGGTATAGAATTGCTGCATTAACTGCCGTTTTAAGTTTATACCTTGCGCCCACAGAGGCACAGCTTTCGAAGGTTCACATTCATCGTCTGTCGAATCATCGCTGTCTAAATCCAATCCATAAGAAATATAGCTTGTATCTTGAACAACTAATGGTATAGTAGGGGGTACCCAATTCGTTGGCGGCTCCTTAAACGTTGTTGTGGATTTATTAGGCACAAGAGTGTTTGATGGTTTTATTGTCTTAACGTCATTAAGACAAACTTGCAAAGTTTTTGTAATAGGGTTTTGAATATTTATACTATTTTGATCCGAATTGTGGTTGCCTTTAATCTTTGTTTTTTCATTTTGAATGTCTAACTTGGTATCTTCCCGTTGCTTTTCCTTTAGTTTATCGCGATCGAGTTCATATTTTTTCCCTATTGCGATGTCTTTTTCAGCTAACTTATTTTTCTCTTCTCTTAGCAGTTTTTCAATCCTAACAACAAAAATTTATTATAAAAAATAATTAGGTAATGATAAAACATTTTACTTTTTAAATCATACTTCTCTTTCTCCCGATCTTCCTTCATCTTTTTTTCAACTTCTAAACGATGGTTTTCACGTTCGGCAAATTCTCGTCTCTTACGATCTGTATCCAACGCACGTTCCTCCTCGATCTGCCGCAAACGATCCTTTTCCAATTTTTCTTGTTCCATTTTACGACGTTGACGTTCTTGCTCTTCTAATTCGAGTTTTGTTTTTAATAGCTCTTCCCTGCGAAAAAAATTAAATAATTACAATGCACACTTAACATTGGTAGAGAAAGTACTGCAAACTTTGGCAAATTTATAAAAATATTATAAATAAAAACAAACTAAAAAGTCGAATATTCTTAAAAACAGAAGAAAAAGGAAGACGCTCGAAAAAAACCAAACATTTTTAAACATTTAATAACAAACATGACAACAGCACAATGTTTCTAATTACAAGTTTGACGACGTAACAGTTTATTATGACAGTACTTTTGACCAGAATATGTTACAACAGTTTAAAACTTTTTAAAAAACTTCAACACTATATTTAATTGGGATTGTTTAGTTATTTCACTATAAACAGAACATTTTACTAAGTTAAACATTTTTCACTTTTCAAAATTTAGTTCAACAGACAAAATTTTATCGATAATTCTCTTTTAAAAAATTAATATTTTAGAAACCAAAGAAGTAAAGGAGAAAAGTGGTTTATATAACACCATGAAAAAAAAATATCATTAGCACGTTTAAGGTACAATACAGATTTAAGAGAAATTGCAGAAAAAGCAATGCTTTCCTTTATAACGCTAGATATATCACATTATATTAATTATTCTCATAGCAATAATTATACTTAATTTACCATTAACCATAACAAAGTTAAGCAAGCATAAGAAAAAATCGCAATCGAGTTGATCTCGTAACTCCAAAACAAACTAAATATTGATTTGAGTAAAAAAAATTTTTTCATGGTAGAAAAGATGAAACTAAATTCTATTTTGATGTTAGAAGAGGTAAAAAATTTGCAGGTCTAATAAAAAAACAATATTATACTGTGTGCAGTGAACCTGGCGGAAATTATCTATTCCATTTTGATTCTGAAGATAATACGGAGAAGTCCTTCAAGTGATGGTTGGGCAGGGAAGTCTTTAGGAGTTTTGATCTTGAAAAAAGACCTCCTATGGAAGTAGCACAAAGTGAAAAAAAAAAAATTTCAAGACAAACTTTAGCCAAAACTCAAGCTAAACAACTGCACCATCAATTTTAACTCATTTTTAAATTTTTAGTATTTCTTTGTACGCATCTTGTACAAAAACACTTTTGTGTGTGGGATTTACCTTGGCAGGGAGTTTGGCAGTAAATTGTAAAATTTTTCTTTTAAAAACCAAGGGCAGTCCCTAACATAAAGTTTATCAAGAAATGATTTAGAAGTGTCAGCATATGTTTTCACAACTGAAAGGTACAAAAATTTGCGACCCTTCAGCGTTTCTACATTTAATGAAAAAATACCTGAAAGTACATTGTGTAACAAGAGTAATATAATCAAAAAAATTTTTGAGACAAGGGCAGCAAATAAACCCTAGACTTCAGATTAACTGACTAAATAGAGGGTAGATAAAACGCTGTTCAATAATGTATGCATGTTTGTCAATTTTAATTATTAGATCTTTATTATATCTTGTTATACTAACATTTCTATCCAATTGATGCCATTAACTTAACCTGTATACTTTTGCAGTTTTTTTTACTATGCATTTTAAGTGCTTTTACTCAAGTTTGTGACTCAATTAAAATTTTTTCTCCACATCAATAATAAAAACAGTCCTCAATATTCCCCAATCACTTTGTGACACTTAACTCAACAAGTAGTTGTATGCAGCTTTGTTGGCACACTTTGCCTTTATATATATAAAAAAGTTTTTACTGCAAGATATTTTATAACTTGTAAACATCTTGCAGTTAAACTGTTTATTTAGATAAAAAAAAAAAAAAATTGAATTTTTTAATAAATCTATATCAATAAATTTAATTACATTTAATTAAAAAAAATAAAAATTTACCTTCTTTTATCTTCTTCTCTTACTTCAATAGCTTTTTTCTTTAACTCTTCTTCTTCTCTTTGGCGACGAGCTTCAGCTTCAGCCATTTTTATGTCTCTTTGTTTGCGTTTTCTAATTTCTTCTAATTCTCTTTGTTTTCGAACCTCATCTCGATTTTGAGTAGCTTGCTTTAATTTTAATAACATTTGCTCCTTTTTTCTTTCATCTTCTTCTTGACGTCTAGCTATCTGTTCTGCAAAACGTTTTTCTCTTTCTTCACGTTGTCTAAAAAGATAATAGTAAACTGCAAGCAGATCATGTGACGTATGTAGTCAATCATGTAGCACAACATATTATAAATTGTTGACATACAACAGATCATACACAGTGAAGTTGAATTGAAAACACATTGATTATAAACATTATAGGGTCAAGGAAAACACCTTGTAGAATTTTAGAGGTTACTTGAAATTAAAAGCAATCAGAAGCTTAAAAAAATCTGTGCAGTAACGCTTGATTCAGCCTGCACCAAAAGAAGTAACCGATGCACCATCCAAGTGCAAAATGGCACTGTTAATACTCTGATAATATTTACAGCTGTTAATCAACCTCTCTTAGAGTTAAACAGAGTTAGGAGAGTTTACTATCAGCCAGCCTGAGAATTTTAATTAAATGTTAGAGCTATTTCCTTATTAGGAGATAACAGAAAGAGTTACATAGCCAGTAAGAAACAGACAACCATAAAGCCAAGAGTAAAAAAGATCCAGTGTTTATCATCCTAGGCAGGTAATAATATAAAACAAATTTATATATATGTCAGTCTGTTAGATAAAGAAGTTTAATAAAGGTCATCATGGTCAATTTTCCTTAAAGCCATGTAAGATAAGTTATAGTTAAAATACTAAACAGTTTTATGGAAATATTTTAAGCAATCTATAAAAATCATAACTTATTCAGCATTCATATCAAATGTACATACCTACTTCAAAAGATATAAAATTTTAAGATACTAGATATCTTTAAAATAGTTTTAAAATAAATTCTAATCTAATCTAATCTAACATGTGATCTAATCTAATATTTGATCATATATATGATCACATATTAGATAAATGTATAAGTTGTAATATCTATTCATCAGATACTCTGCTATAGTTATTCTATAATAATAATATTAACAATAATAATAATAATAACATGCTTACCTTTTTTTATCCTCTTTTTCTTTTTGCTTTTTAAAAAACTGTTCTTCCATAACCTTTTGACGAAGTTCCTCTTTTTTTTTTAACTCTGCTTGTTTCTTTTGGAGTTTTTCCTATATATTGAATACATTGAAAACCTTTTGTTGCTTTTGAACATACAAAACATATTAACATTAAACTAAAAGATATCTTTTTTGAATTCTGTAAATGTTTTTATATTTCTATAAGAAATACATTTGGAAACAACTTATTACTTTTAAAATGTGTTTGTTTTTATTAATCTAATTTTATTAGTTATACAATTAAAATTTAAATTAAAGGCCTGGATTAAGATAATGATGATCTAAGTACTGGTAACATGTAAACCAGAACAACCTGTTATATGTCAGGTAAAGACTAAGAGAAGTTGACTCTGACTTAAAATAACCTCTCTGTTGGAGCTGTTGGTTCAGAAAAGCTAGAGATAACGTGTATTTCTTGAGGCAAAAAAAACAAAGCCTTTTGTTACTACCAGCAATGAGGCAACCAAATTGAATTTTATCTTTTCACTATTAAAAGCTGATTAAGTACTAAATTAATAATACATTTTTAAATACCAGATATTTAAATACCATTTTAATTGCATTAATACTATTAGTGCAATTGAAATAATTAAGAATTGCAAAAGAATCAGAATCACAACAAACAATCGAAATCAGAATCGGCAAGTTTTGGAATCAGAATATCTTTTATTATGATATATGTAATATTGATTTTTAAAATTATCTTATCAATTATCTTATATATGTTTATAAAATAAAATCGCTAATTCCTTTATAAAATAGATTTTTACTTGTAGCTGTTAAAAGCATCCTGCACATTAAAATTTTTGCAAAGGAACTCATATTAGCTAATGAAATCCATAGGAAACCTTAGCATCAGAGTCCTAACGATAAAGATATCAATAAACTTGATGTGATAATCACAAGAAGGAGGAAGATAAGGAGGTCGAAACTGAAATTAATGACCAAGCTCTTGATCTCGTTCCTAAACTTCATAAGACTCCTGTTAAAGTTCGAAAAATTGTAACTTTTAAAAGATCTGCTTTAAAAAAGGACACTTTTAAACATTATTCTAAAAATAAATTTAGACAAGAGCTAGTACTAATAGTGGATTTTAAAACACATTGGAAATCAAAGTTGGCCATGATTCAAAGATTTATTAAAACTAAAAAAGTAGTTGGTAAATCATTGGTGAATATAAGTTTAGAAAAAATATTGTCTGATGATGGACGAAGGTAGTCTAAAATAAGCAAAAAAAACTGGAGCAAACTGCCTTAGGTTTTGGAATGATTTGTATAAGGGAAGCAACATTATTAACAGATGATACTTTAAAACTTATGATTAAAGAACTTGATACACATGATTGCTACTAAGTAAAGGATTTTTTTCTTTTTGATATTTGTTTCAATTAGAATGCTCTAATTGAAACAAATATCAAAGAGAAAAAAAAAGACTTTTTTGGGTTATTATGACTTTTAGATAATCTAAGAAAGCAATAAGGATGATTATATATTTTGCATAGAGACAAATTTCGCTACATCCCAGCAAATTAATGACATAATAAACTTAATGTGATTTCAGTCACTTAACTCCTTTAAAGAATATACAAACTAATTTAAATTTTAAAAAACTTTTTTTTTGTATGTATAAAAAATGATTATTTTCTTTAACCAGAAACCCATTATCAGTTGTAACACAAAACAAAAAATATGTATAAATGTAATAATAAATGCAGGTAACAAAACTTTTTATTAATAATGATTGATATTATTAAAATCATATGATTTTATTAATATCAATTAGAAAAATTTTTGTTATAATGGAAATAAAAATAATAGGAAATAAAATTAGTTTTTTTCTATATTATATATTTCTTTATAAACCAATTAGTTACCTCGATTGTTTCTTTTTTGGGACTGTCTTGATTCTTCATAAATGATTTGATTCCAGCACTTACAATATTTCCAATCTTTACAAGCTGAAGTATATTTTAATTTAAAAACTATTCTTTTTATAATTCAAAAACATGTTGAAAAAAGAAAAAAAAAAATTTTTTTAAAATGTCAACACATTTTTCAAACTTCTTTTGTTTTTTTAAAAACCACATTTTAGTGTGATGTTAAAGAGGATTTCAAGTGCTATTTCATATTAACATTAGCAAAAATTTCTTTTATAATCAGTTGCAATTAGGAAAAGTAAGAGATTAATAATGAGGGCAACTGGTGCACACTTAAGTGAGATATGAACTTATTAGTATTACATATTATAGACATATCAATTATTTGTTAAGTATGACTGCAAGTTAAAATTAACATCTTTAAATATTTTAAAACTTCAAAGATGTCTCCAAAAGTATTATTTTAACTTATAACAATAAAAAAACATAACGTTAACCAATTTTTAGAAAACTCAAGCAATCAAATTTTAACATTGCATTTGAGTTTATCTTTAGTATAAAATAAATAAAACAAGACTTACACTTATAGGCTCTTTAGGTGCATCTTGCTTTATCAATGAATTAACATCAGATAATATATTATTAGGTTTCTAAAGATTATTAAATATTACAACTTCAAGGCGTGATTTCTAGATATTAAAAGTTAATATCTGGAAATGCTTATGGCCTTTAAATTTTTTGTTTTTTTAAAAACAGTTAACACTGTTTTAATCACAAAACCCAAAAATTGTTATTCAAAAAAATATTTATGGATTGATCTTGAAACTACGATATAAAATCTAAATATAAAAATGTATTATTATTAAAAAATAGGGTTTAAACTTTAATAGTTTAATTGATTCAATAAATCATCGGATAAAATTAGAAAGTATAATATTAAAAATGAAACAATTGAAAACACAACACTCTAAAAAAATCTAGCAACAATTAAATATTTTAAAAAGAAATTGCAACTACTTTTTTATTTTATTTAAATCTTATTCCATATCTTCTTATAAATCAAATATAACTGTTATATGCTTGAAACTCTCTAGCACAGATTTGCAATAAAATTAAAGACAGAGGTAAAAAGACTTATTTAAACCACTTTATAGTTATTTTAAAACAAAACAAAAAAAACTCTAACATATTTTAAAATATTTTTATCATTATTTTTATTATCAATTAAAAATGTCTAATTCAAAACTTTTAAATAATTCTTCAAAGTTTCGCTCTAATAGAAATTTGATTTTAATGTTTTATGCTTTCACAATGTACAAATAGATTAAACTTTATAATATAAAGTTTAAGCTATTTGTAAGTATAAGTTTTTATTGGTTAATTTTGAAATTACTGTGCACAATTTTAAGATCTTTAGTAATAATTATTTCAACATTTTTTTAAAATTTATAATACTTGAATTGAGTGGTGTTTGAACAAACAATAAATTAAATATATAAGTTTTGAATGTTATTATTTTTACAGATTTAAATTTATTGTTTTGTTTTTCCATAAATTTTTGCAACATGATAAACTGACCTTTTCATTAAAACAGTGTTAATAGTTTTAATAAACTGAGAATTTTAGGACCAGAAATATTTCAGATGTTACAATTCGGAATCACTTAATTCCTGTCTTGCAATTCAAAACTCAATGGTATTGTAGGTAAACTTCAACACAAAACATAAAATATACCTTGAATTCTTTTGTTTCGATCTTTCCATTATCCTGTCTACATTCATTATCATCTGAGAAAAATTTAGTTAAACCATTTTTGGATTTAACTGAGTCATGATCATGTCCATCATGTCCATCAGCAATTTTAACAGTTTCTATTAAAAAAGGTGTGGAAATTATAAGCAATAGTAGTTTAGTATGCCAGTATTTTTTATGTCAGCACAATAATAAATTTTATCTGGCTTACTTTCTTTATCAGTTAATATAGTGTATTCATTTGTATGTTGTGTGTTATTAGATAACTGAGTATTGCAATATCCACTATCAGTTTGGTCTGGTAGTGAAGACAATGCTTGATTTTGATTTTCTTCAAACTTAGTTGATATGGTTGAAGACATTATGGGAGATGATGATTTCACTAGATAAGTTTTTTGGCCATTATCCAATAAAGGAGAAGATAACACATCAGTTGTATTGCATGTTGATAAATGTTTATCTTTTGCAAATACACAGTCCATTGGTGATATTGATGGGGATATACTTTGATCAGGTTGAAAATGATTTTTACCATTCACAGTTATTGGTGGTGATAAGGCCAGATGACCCAAACTAAGATCCCCACAAAAAATTATATATCAGCAAAATTAGGTATTATGCAAGACAGACTTGCAAACCCAACAAATTTGACATTTCATTTAAATTCAAAATTTGAATTTTTGGAGGACAGTAAGAAAATTCAGCAACATTATGTTGCTTTCAAATGGGATCAAAATTTAAAACTAAAACTGCAGTTATAAATGCACTCATTTAAGTTGCAATAAAACAACTTAGGTTTTATTTTATGTTTAAAAACATTAAAAACTATCTGTAATATAAGAATGTTGTTATCAAATTATAGTTATGACTGATAAAATTTGCTGTGTTTATCTTTAGATGCTATTTTGTTGGGTTCATGAATCTGTCTTTAGCAGCTATAGTATTAAAACATTGATCAAATTTATGTAAGAGCAATGTTAATTTTAATTAAATATCATTATTAACATTAATATCATTTTTATTGTTAAATGTGTAATAAATGTTAAAATGATATTAATGTTAATAATATCATTACTAACATTAATATCATTTTTATTGTTAAATGTGTAATAAAAGTGAAAGTTAATGTTGTTAATGTTAAAAGGATCTCTAAACATATTGTGTTAGTATTTGTTTTTTAAAATCCTAACCTTTTTTTGAAATCTTAACAAAACCTTTTTTTTTTTTTTTTTAAGCAAACCATAATAAATTGTTTACTTTGTTGTTTCTATAAAAATGCCATAATTAATAAATTTAATTTTTTCTCATTTAAAACCGTTGCATAAACATTTAGCTTGGTTTTTATTGTATTAGATACTTATTTTATAATAGATTATTATTTATTCATTTTACTATTTCATAATATATATTTATATCATTCTTTAACAACTTAATTATCAGTTTATTTATTTAGCTACATTATTTTATATAATACATATAGATAAATTATTTATATATAGTTAAACATAGTTAAATATACACATAGTTAAATTATTTGTATATAATTAAATTATTACGCCATTATTAATTTCCATTTCTGTGAAACTTTATTAAAATTTTTATTTATTTAAATCATATAATTTTTATTTATTTAAATCATATAATTTTAATCAAAATTTTGTTTGATCATTGTGTTATTGTTAATAATATCATTGTTAATATTACTTTTTAAAACTGTTTTTGTTTCAGGTTAATTTGCTATTCTTCCTAATAATCATACTTACTGCTATTGTTTGCTTTTTACGATTATTATAACCATAGCTACTATTTTTACTTCCTACATAATATCTCTTACATTCTTTATTCTATTGCAGAAATTACTCAATTTCATTGTTCTACTATGGATTTATTATTTGTGTAAAAAAAAAATAAGTCTAAGTTGCCGATCAATTCAATGTGAGAATTGTTCATTTTGAAATGCAACAGGCTCAATGATTCTGGGTTCAATTTATTACAATTAGGTCGCTCAATGCAACATTGTGTAAATTGTACTAAGAGTATATTTCCATTCACAGATGTACCAGATAACGAACTTAAATTATTATTTTCTTCTAATAAAATTATTATATCTGACGATTTACCTCCGTCTACAAACATCTTTCCATCTTTACATTTGAATAAAATTTCTAACCAAATTAATGACTATGTGTCATCTCTTGCTTTAGATTCTGATGAAGAAATCTATGCATCACTAGACATAACTTGTAAATATTATGACATAGACAAATTTTGTTCCCTGAAATTTGACAAAATAAACGTACTTTCTTTTAATCACCTAAACATTACATCGCTGCAAAAACACTTTGAAGATTTAAACATATTTTTATCATTAATTAATTTTGAGTTTTCTATTATTGCTGTTACTGAAACACGTTTAAAAAAAGAAATTCACTCAATTCATCCAATTCTCATTAATAATGATATTATTTCTGGAAATTTGACAACTTCTGTCTCTGATCACTTACCTCAACTTTGCATTTGTCCCAATTTCAACAAATTCCCTAAAACTCCCAAAGTCACAAAATATATCGTAGAAATTTTAAAAACTTTGATCAAGAAAAATTTAGATCTGACTTAATAAAAGTGTGATTGGGATGATGTTATAAAAAACAGTGACACTAACTCTTGTTTTCATAAGTTTATTACTGAAACAACATCGATTTTGGATCGCTATGCCCCACTCAAAAAGACTAGTATTAAGAGCTTCAAATGTCGATTTAAACCATGGATTACAAAAGGAATCATAAAATCTATTTAAATACGCAATCTTTTTAAAAAAAAAATGTTAAGATCAAAAGATTTAATAAATATAAACACATTTAAAACTATTTTTAAGCGATATAAATTCATGATAATTACCTCAATTAAACTTAGCAAGAACATCCATTTTAAAAATTTCTTTTCAGATAATGTGAAAAATCTTTGCGAAATTTGGATAATCTAATAAATGTCAAAAATTATAACAGCTCATCTCCCAAATGTTTACAGGATAATGATAGATATTTAACTGAACCGACTCTAATCTCTGAAAAATTTAACACTTTTTTTACTAATGTTGCTCATAAACTTAAATCCAATATTCATTCGTCTTACTCCAAACTTACATAGTCTACTCTTATCTCCAACAAACATTTCTGAAATTTCATCTCTTATATCTAAATTAAAGCCGAGAAAATCATTAGGTCCAAACAGCATTCCTACAAACATTCTTATTGATATTAACTACAAATTTTCAAATATTCTCTCTAAACTATTTAATATCTCATTCATAAATGAAACTTTTCCTGATATTTTAAAATCATCTTGTATTATTCCAATTTTCAAAAATGGCTCTAAACTTTTATGTACTAACTATAGACCTATTTCTCTTTTATCTAACATTAGTAAGCTTCTTGAAAAATTAATGTATTCTAGAGTGTATTCTTTTCTAAACTCTTTTAACTGTTTAAATGAGTCTCAATTTGGTATTCAATCAAACCATTCTACCTGCCACGCACTGATAAGTATAACTAAAAAAATTAGAAAAGCTCTTGATACTGATCATTTTGCTTGTGGTGTTTTTATGTAATTATGGAATTATTATAACATCATGGAATTCGTGGAGTTGTAAGTGATTGGTTTTGATCTTATCTTTTGGACCGGAAACAATATGTAAGTATTAATGGTTATACTTCTAGTAACAAACGTGTTACATGTGGTGTTTCTCAAGGTTCCATTATTGGTCCTCTTTTGCTTTTAATTTACATTAATGATCTAAATATCTCTGTTCACTTCTCGTCGGTTTGCAGATGATACCAATCTCTTGCATGTCAACAAATCATATTATTCTCTACGTAAAAATATGAATTCAGATCTTAAAGGTATAGTTCATTGTTTAAATGCCAACCTAATATGTCTTAACATCGAAAAGACTGGACTAATTTTTTTTTTTCATCTCCTAGAAAAAACTGTAACAACAACAGAAAAAACTGTAACAACATTGAAATTAAAATCAAAATAAATAATAAATGACTATATCCCTCGAGAGTTATTAAATATCTTGGTGTGTTAAGTGATTGTAACCTTTCGTGGAACTTCCATATTGATGAGCTGCGCAAGAAACTTAATCATGCAAATGCAGGGTTCCCACTATTAAACCAAGGCTAAAATTATAGATTTTAAGGAGATTTAAGGAGGTATTTTCCTAATATTTAAGGAGATTATGTCGCGAACGACATTTTTTTGAAAGAAAAAGTAAGGATAATTAAGGAGAAAACGATTATATTAAAAACATCTTATTTTTTTCAATAAATTTTAAATATAAACAGAGAAATTATTTTTACTTTATATATATATATATATATATATATATATATATATATATATATATATATATATATATATATATATATATATATATATATATATATATATATATATATATATATATATATATATATATAATAACAAAAATAGGTTTGAAAACTATCAAAAATCTATATATTTTCTTCTTTATTAACAAGTATAAAAAATTCCCTTTAAAAATTTTTTCTAGATAAATAAAAAAAAAATAAGGAGAAATTAAGGAGAGCAATCAAATTTAAACTTTTTAAAAGGTTATTTAAGGACATTTAAGGAGGTTTTTATTTTTTAAGGATATTTAAGGTTTTTAAGGAGGTGTGGGAACCCTGAAATGGTATGCTTTCAGTAATTCGACATTATGTTGATAAAATTACTCTTTTAAATATTTACTATACATTATTTTCATCTCATCTTAGTTATTGTTGTCAAGTTTGGGGTCAAACTGGCAAATATCATATTAACAAACTAATGTCATCTCAACGCCAATCCATTAGAATAATAAACTTTCAACCTTTCAAATCAGATACATCAGATTCTTTTAAAAAACTTAAAATTCCAATCTTTCATTTGCTAGTAAAGTTTGCTAATCTTTTTTTTGTTTTTAATTCTCTAAATAAAAATTTACCTTCTTCTATCGCAAATTTTTTTATAGAAAGTAGACTAATTCATACACACTCTACGCAAAATATAAATAATGGAAAACTTATTGTACCATCATATAAAACTCAAAAGTATGGTAAGAATTATGTTGTGTATCAGTACATCTGTGAATGGAACAAGAGCCTTGTGTTCATTGTGAATGAGTTCAATAAGCTCCAACTCCAAATTCCTTTGTCATCTTTTCTTAATCTTAATCAAAATCAATTTAAAAAAATTCTGAAAAATATTTTGTAATTTTTTTCTATAACTATAATAATTTTTTTTTTTAAGTTTTAAAAAAACTTTGGAGTCCTTCTAAACATTTTTGTATGAAATGTGTTAAATAAACATTTTGAAAAAAAAATTAAAACAACAACAATAAAATAAACCTATCAAATTTAGCATCAAGTTGATTGATACTAACAAAAAGTTTGTTTTTTATAAATGTTGAAGATTCATTAGTCTTCTCAATAGGAGTACTTTCTTTAATCGGATCACTGTGCTTTGGTAAGTTTAATTGTTTATTAGCTGGATTTGGTGTTAATTTCTCCACAACAATTGAAAAATTTGTACTGTTTAGTGACGGTGAAGATTGTTTTGATGGTGAAAACACTTTTGAAGATAAAAGCTGTTTTGATGGCAATTGTTTTGATGGTGAGAGTTGTTTTGATGGCGAAGGTGGTTTCGATGATGAAAGGTGTTTTGATAATTCTTTTGACAAAACTTGCACTTCTTGTATATTTTTGACATCCCTAAACAGGAGTATAGCAAAATGTAAATAGAAATAATAACATGCAAAATCTTTTATAACCAAACTAATAGAGGGTTCTATATTTTGAATGATTAATAAAGCTCATTAGTGACACACTACTCAGTAAGAAAACCCTAAGCAACTAGTTAGCAAAATTAATATTAATAAAGACCATGAGGATTGCAAATTTAATAGAGCTAGCAAGTAATATTATCAATCATTCCAAAGCTAAAATATGTAAACATCTACATGTCATAATAATTTAAATGTGTAAATTTATATTTATTCTTTTGATAATAAAAAAAGTTAAAATAAAAATAGTTTTACTGCAAAGTAGGGCTTGACAAATCTTTCTTTTTTTTTTTTTTGAAAAAATTTTTATCTCAATATTTATTGATGTTCATCTCAATATTTATTGGTGAACATTTAAAGTCTTTTAAATGTTCACCATTTTAACACGATTTTAACACTTGCTATTTAAAAAAAAATAAAAATGGCAAACAAAAGTTTTATTTAATTTCTAATAAAATAATTAATATAAAAACAGCAAAATATATGTTTTATTTACTTTTAAAATAACTAAAATAAAAATGACAAAACAAATCTTAACTCTACATAAAATAATCAAAATAAAAACAGTAAAGCGAACACTTTATTCAAATGTTATAAATTAAAAAAATAATAAAAAAGACTGTTAAAACAAAATGTTTTATTATGTAATATATACTAATAATATATAATATTATAAGAAATTATTTAAAAAAAAAAAATTAGTATATATTAGTATAAATAGTATATAAGTAAAAAAAATTTTTTTTTTCAATTTTCATTTTTAAAATGAATTAATTTCTTTTAAAAAACAAAAAATAAACCAAAAAAAAGAGGCATTTTTTAAAATTAAAAAATGTACTTAATTGTGAGTGCTTAATCAAAGTTAAAAAATTTAAAAATCGAGTGAAAAAACTTAGTTTTAAGTAGTTTAGTCTGCATTTGTGGGTTTTTAAGTGTCTTTGAAATAAATTTTCAAAAAAGTAATCAAAATAAAATTAAAATTATAATAGATATAGCCATAATAGATATATTCAAGATGTAGTAAAGATATTAATTATAGAGATGAAATTAAAAAGTTGATTTTTAAAGTCAACCTTAGGTTTTTAAAAAGATAACGATAATGTGTCATAATATGCATGAAATTTTGTTAAAATATTAAATCAATAAAATAAATTTAAACATGTAAAAAAAATCTAAAAAATCTAAAAAGTTTAATTAGTATTACTTACTTTGAGCTTTCATCAACTTTGTCTGAATTTTCTACAAAAAGTTTTTGCTTTAAAAAGTCTTTTTCGTTAATTTTAGAAATATCAACTCCTTCAGTAACTTTTGTAAATGAAGAGTTTATTTTGTCTGTTAAAACTAGATTTGGTTGAGTGATAGGATTTTGAGGCGAGTGAGTTAACTTTATTGATTTACTATTTATTGGCTGGATTATAGTTGCTGGTGAACTGTTTTTATTATTCCATGGACTTTCAAAGTAACTTGAAGTTTTTTTGACAGTCCGATTACTTTTTTTTTTTATAATAGAACTTTTTTTTGTTCTGTTTCTCAGTCGAAAAGAATAACCTGTTGAACTTTTATTCATGCTTTCTTCGAGTGTGCTTTTTTCATTTATATCAGAAAGATCAATTTTAATTTTCTTGTGAATTTGTGAGTCATCAATAAAAGTTGATTGTTTACTATTAGTCAAATTATCTGCTTGTTCTGAATGAGTCTTTTCCTTCTGTAAGGGTCTTTTCCTTTTCATGCTGGGTGTTTTGGGAAGGAGAGTACATGTTTTACTAGTAACAAAATAAAAAACAAAACTTTTTAAAATAATTTTTAACAGTTATATTTAAACTTCATTATAACTATATTAAATGTATACAATTAAATGAAATTCAATAGCATATTAGTAAATAAAGTTCAATTAAATAAACTTAACTAGTTAAACATAACAAAATTAAATTTAATTGGTTCTTGGCTATATAAAAATCTATGTAGATTTGTGGTGTAGTGTGTTCATTTTAATCAGTTTTTCTGTAAAGTATTTAAGCACTATTATTTTTAAACTTTTTATCATATAATTCATAAGTTCAATACCCACCATGCTACTGGTAGTACCGCGCTCAATTTGTTTCTCTGCGCAGCAGCATTGTTTGTCAAGGTTTATGTTTTGGAGTCATAGAGTTGAGAGAGGTTGTAACCACAATTATAGTAGCATTCTTGTCTGTGGTGGCCATCTTGGACTTAGGGAGGAGGAGGAGGAGGTGGAATCAACATTGAAAAAAAATTGAAAATGGATACTCAATAACTCAATTGAAAATGGATGACTCAATGTCATAAATTTCTATGAGTCAGTATATTTTATAGAAGAAAAAGTAATAATTAGAAAGATGCATACTCACTAAACAGGATAAAATGACTAATGATTCAAAGCAATGCTCCTTCAACACCTTTAAAAAATCTTAATTAGCTAGAAAAAAAGGTTCAGATTACCTACCTTACCTTAATTTTTTTAATTTTTCTAGGCTTGTTCTAGTCAAAAACTCTTTTTTTTTAATTTAGATTATTTTAAATTAAAAGTTTTATAAATGTTAAATATTAACTATTGTTTGACAAATAATTAAAAAAAAGTTATACATTTAAAACACTTGTTTCATAATATTTAAATAGGTCTGAAGGTATTCTTTTTATCATCAAGTTTGAAGAAATTAATTTCACACTAAATTTACTTTAAATAAAATTTGTGAAACTTTTAATCAACACTTTTAAATAATTAACTTAAAACTTTAAAATAATTAACACTTTAGGGCTAAAAAAACATTTGTAACATTTGTAAATTGTTTTGAGTTAACTTTTTAACTAAGCTAGTTTTGCAGTAATATAGTAAATTGCAATATTCATAAGTACAGTACTTTTGCGTTAGCAAAAGCATAATGGGATATGAAACATTAAAAGTTTTTTTGTACTTATGAAATTTACAGGTTATATTCTTAATTTTGTACTTATGAACACTGCAATTTAATAAGTTATATTCTTGATCCAAAGATTCCAAGCTAAACAGAGTTTGTGACTATACCAGCCATAAAAGGTTTGACACTAAATTTATTTATAAAAAGACAGGAACAAAATTTAAAATTATTTTATTTTTGCACTTACATTTTTGATAATGATTTTTATTTTTGCGCTTACATTTTTGATAATGAGTTGAATTATTTACTACTGTACTGATAAAAAAAAAATTTATTCTAATGTTAAAATATTTTGTTTTTGTTGTATTGTCAACTATTTCTGATTACATTATTTATAAATCAAATTTATAAATAAAAGACCTATTTAAATATTATGAAACCTATTTAAATATTATGAAACAAGTGTTTTAATTATAAATTATTTATAAATTAAAACAATTACATTATTTATAAATTTGTATGAAATCACTTTTTTCCCTTCTATTTTATAAAGATTATAAACCTAATAATTTCAATCTTTATATAAGTAAGGACTCTAGAGCATTTTCCACCTCCTTTTATTTTTCTAAAAATTGTATAAAAAACAATGTTATTTGCTAATACACAAAAATGCTAATATTCGCTAATATTTTAAATATACAAGGTTGCAGTTGATTTTGTCATTAAAAGAAACATAACAATAACCTAGTTTTAATCAAGTTATTTTGAAATTTTTCAAAATTTTAAATAATATTTTCTGGAATTTCATTTTTTTGTTTATAAGCTTCTTTTTTTTTTTTTTTTTTTTTTTGAGGACTTTGTATTTTGAGGATTTTGTATTAATATTTTATAGAGTGTTCTGTTTTAGATTTTAAATCAAAATTAAAAAATTTAAAGTAAATATACATAGAATTAATTTAAAGGTTTACTATAATAGGTTAATATAAAAATATTCTTTGTTAATAATTTATAAAGAAATCTTTTTTAGTTTACCATGATCCTAGAGCATAAATTACAATGAATGAAGTATTTTCAATGCACATAGTAAGCAGTTCTCGCATTCTACATTCAAGAAATCTATCTTTAAAAGAATTCTATCTTTACTAGATTTAACAAAAATTAGTGTTGCTATCTACTTCGATTAAATCGACTAGTCGAAACTAGTTGACTTTGAAAAATCCAACAGTCGATTTATTCAACTATGGATATCCTACTAATCGACTTAAAATTCCTACTAATTGAGTAAAAAATTTTTAAATCCTTATATCTTTTGATATAAGGATTTAAAAATTTTTTGAATCATAAAAAGAATATTCGCAAACTCTAAAAACCTGCCAAATTAACGAACAAACTAATTCTATTAGTTCTAGAATATTCTGCTGAAATGTTTTAGAAATTGTATTATTCACGATTTGTGACGTTTTGAGATTTCTAGCATAGATTGTTTTAAGAATATATATTATTAATTCTATGGCTCATTCTTGGAGCCACATCTGCAAAGCCGTAAATCTTATAAACTATTATTATTTGTTTACAAAAATAAATGTTTTAAATATATATTTTGTAAATTGTCAAAATTTTGAAAGTTTATTATAAATTGAAGATTTTATTAGTACATACTTATTTTTTATTTAAAGAGGATGTATTTTTTATGTAAATGTAATTTTATGTATCTTTTTTTTATCGTTTTAATTTGTAAACAAAGACTTACAAAAATAATTGTGTTTTCAATGAAATTATTAATAATCATTAAAGTTAATAAAACTAATTATGTAACAAACATATAAGATGTTTCTGGTTACTAAACACAAACAATGCATACAAAGTAACTCGCTGATTGAACAAATACCGCGCCTGAGGTCACGACAGAACACAATCACAAAATATATAGCAAGTTATATCTAATAACTTGCTATATATATATATAGCAAGTTATTAGATATAAAGAAAAGTTTCTAGATATCGGTTTACTAAATCTAATTATTTTCGCTTAAGTTGCCATTTTTAAAAACTCTTTATACTTTTTTCTGCTTTAAATACTAATTAAAATTAAAAAGCCCACTCACTAAACATCATCAGCAATATTGTGAAGCAGTTTCGCTTCCTCATCATAAAAGTATTTCAAATTTTTTAGTTGATTTCTATCTAGTTAATTTAATTTCTATAGTAATTCAATGATTTAATTATTTCATTTGTTTATCTTACTAAGAAGAATTATAAAATAATTTAGCTTAGATAAAACTAAAACTTGCAAACTTTGATAACTATAGAACATTTGTTTCCTTTTTAAACAATAGTAAGATGTCACTTTACTTTTTAACGCCGCTTAATTTTATAAAAAAATTATAAAGAGCGATGTTTCGAAAATATTTGTTCTAAACGTAATTTATTTTGCTTTAAATTTTTTCGCATTAAAAGATATTTTATTTTCCTAATTTTTTTTTATAATTGTCTCTCATCGGTCCAATTAATCTTTTGCACATTTTTTTTTTGCTTTTTAAAATGTTCTCAAAATGACTAAGAAATTTGGCCAGCTTTTCGGAACTAAATATTATTTCCGTGGTCAGCAATCGAGAGCAATCGCCTCCGCTTCCCGACCAAGCCTGAGTCCAAAAAAGGACTCTGAATTTGAAAGTCATATAAAGATTGCTTTATCCTAGTTTTTGGTATCCAGGAGCTATAAAAATATAAATAAGTTTATGGACTACTAATAGAAAAAAAATTAAGACTTAGGTTAGAGAAACAATCATTAGATAAATCAAGATTTAAGTTAGAAAAACAATCACAGGCGGCAAGGACTCCGGGCTTAAAAACAATAAGTTTTAAGTCATTAAATCTCATGAATTTTTTTCTTATAGTATATCATAAGTCAACAAACATGTTTAGAGCTTCTGGACACTACAGGCTTGGAAAAAGTAGAGATATAAAGCCGGAGTCCTTTTGGGACACCGCATCCCTGCTTTTCATTCAACTTAACTTTTATATCTTTAATTTTTGCTTGTTCATTTAATTACAATAGTATGTACTATTATAATTATTACCTAATTTTTTGTTTACTCTCTAGGGCTGCTCCAAGCTGGTTCAGAGACTTTAAGCAAAACTGAATTGTGAAGCTCCAAAATCTAAATGTCATCTATACAATCACATTTATATTAATGTGATTATATTAATTGTTATATTAATTATGATTGTAATGACTCTTTAATATATAGCCACTGTATCACAAAATGAATTTTAATTCGAACCTCTTTTCCTAAGAAAAACCTTTGGGAGTATAATAATACAAGTATGTAATACATTAGAGTTAGTTTTGAAATCTTTCATCATCTTCCGTGAAAGAAAATATGATTTAAAATTTCAATTTTATTGCTATAAACAAACGAATTTCATTTTCGATAGAAAACATTAAAAACTTGTTCTAATATATTTATTCTATAAATAAGCAGTGTACTTACAACTTAGAAACAACAACAAACAAAAAAGCAATCAAGTTCTTCAGAAAATTAAAAAAATCAGATTCTAGCTTAACAGATCAAGCAACATAAAAAAAAGGATTACTCTTATTAAATATAGTGCTTAAAAATTGATGTTGAAAGGTAATTTCTTACATATCATATGTTATAATACAGTATTCTCTACAAAGAAGTTAAAAGGAATGCTTGCTGTTTTAATCGATCAAACAGTTTAATAGATTCTTAGGGTAGCCAGGATGATTACTGGGCCTTTTAAACCATTGCCAGTGATGGTTGAAGTCATGATGAAGTGATTCTGTTGTAGCAAGTCAAAATTTTGTAAAAGCTTTCTGCACTCATTGCCTGCAAATTAACTTCCGTGAAAAGGTTATTGTTAAAAGTTCATCATTTTTGGTGCATTTTTATCATAATCAATTATAAAAAATAGGGGTGAAATATGCACCAACACCTCCTATAAGTATATATCTTCCAATATCATTTAAAACTGCATAATTTTTGATTTTGATTCATCTAATTAGCTGAACCAATTACTTGAACTAGTAAATCAATACCTTTATAAAACTTAACAACTTTTGTTTAATTTATAATAGCTTTTAATAGTTGAGTGTTGTCAGTAAGTAGCTTACAACTCGAATGTACCAGGTCAAATATACAATTTATCGGCGCTACTGCAGTTTCTCCCCCCTCTTTTTTATTGCTGATTATGATAGAGAATTTTATGCTGATTAAGAATCGTATAAAAACATAGGTCTGAAAATCAACAGAAAGTGCTCTAATTCGATCTTGAAGTTTAAAAAATTACACTAAAAAATGTTAATATTCACCATTTTTTTATTCTCGGTTATATTAAAATTCTTTTCAAAGATGATTTTAAAATAGCCTGGTTTCTTTCAACAATTTAATGCAAAACGGTTAAAAAATGCTCAGCGCATCATTTCCTGATTTATCCCTTGCCCAAACCCAAACCCTGTCCCAAATCAAAATTTGTCAGTCGATGTATATGCATTTAGTTGTGCCAATCCCTATTTGTCAGTCGATGTATGTACATTCAATTGTCCAATCCTTATTTTTCAGTCGATGAGTGTACATTTAATTGCGCCAACCCCTACTTTTTTAGTTGATTTATGTACATTTAAAAAGCAATATTTGAATTTATTTTTAAAAAAATAATTAAAGTTATATAAAATACATTCATTAAAACATTTACGTCAATTAACTTCGATGACAATAAAATTAACTTTGATGACAATAAAAACCAGGTCGCCTAATTAAAAAAAGATTTTCTTAACGATTGATTTCAAAATGTAAACTTTGATGTAAAACGTATTTAAAAAATGGCGAATATTAACATTTTTTAGTGTAATTTTTTAAACTTCAAGATCAAATTAAAGCACTTTCTGTTGATTTTTAGACCTATGTTTTTATACGATTCTTAATCAGCATAAAACTCTCTATTATAATCAACAATAAAAAAAAAGGGGGGGGGGAGAAACTGCAGTAGTGCCAAATTTATCTTTTATGATTAAAAGCTTAAGAAATAAATAACTATTCTATTCCTTCTTCAATGTGTATGTGGAAAAATCTAGGGTTCCCAACAAGTTTTATTATTTATAAATCCATGCTGCTCCTTGTTGTTACCGTTGTAAATCTGATATTTCATCATTTTATCTTTAACTATCCACTTCATAATTTTAAATACTGAGGATCTTAAAAGATTCGGTCTGAATTTACCTGGATCTATTTTGTTGTCTTCTTTAATAGTAGATGTTTATACCAAACTATAGCAATAAATGCTCACACTAAACTATACCTTTAGAAATTCGCTTTTCTAAAACAATTTATTAAATAAAATTAGCAGTGGTTGGATGTGGATTTTATTTTAAAACCTTTGTTGTTCAGTTGTCTTATTTGTTTTCATATTGTTATTGTTATTCTAATTGGCATATTTGTTTTTATATTTTTTTGAAAAAGTTTTATGTGCCTAATTTTGTACCTAATAGATATTACCTAATAATAGTTTTTAATAAAAATTTAATTCTAACGTTGATAAAAACTCTATACGCTAGTATGTATCTAAGCAACATACCTTCCAAATAGTTTAACTGCTGTTTCTTGAACTTCTTTAAACCAATTTAGTTTTTCTTCAAGAATTCTATTAAACTGCTCTATGTTAACTTGAGCTTCTGTATAAAGTGTTGATATCGATAAATACTTCGTTGACATTTTAAAGCTATGTATAAAATATAAATTATCTCTTAAACATTTTAAATAACAGTCCTAAAAACAATTTACGCCATTTTAAATTTTTTGAAAACGATCGAAATTAAGTTTTTATAATTTTAACCAATAAAATCACGTTGGTACACAAACGCAGGCGCTTTTAAAATTTATTAAAAAACAAAGTAGATGTTAGAAGTTCATTTTTTTGATTTATCCTATTGATTCTATTGCCTACGTCCTATGACCTGGGTCTCAAAAATTTTTGTTGCAATTTTGTTTCAATTTTTTCGGCCTTGTTTGTCATAGCTGGTATTTTAGAGTAATTTTTTTTTCTAGACTAGTAAGGTGCTCTAAGAAGACTTATCCCACTGCACCACCTTTTGCCACAGCATTTTAAGAGAAAGCTAGAAATTTGCTAGTTAAAATTCGCGTTATATTTTTATATATTACTTATTTATATTTATACTTACATTATTTATATTTATACTATACTATTATTATTACTACATATTATTATCTTACATACTTGGCGCACACTGTATATTTCCACACCTAGAATTCGCAGTACAGGCCTGGTCACCGTATCGAACAATATAAAATCATGACCAAAATTGATAAAGTTAACTTTCACGTCCCTCAACTCCATCCTAACACGGAATCTTCAATATACAGCTTTCGGCCGCGTGGACACACTAAAGAACTAAAAGAATAACTTTTCCGAAACTGCGCTGAAAGAAGCAACTTCTTCATCAACCGTATTGTAAGATTATGGAATTCTTTAACCCAAAATGCGGTGGACGCAAAGAACTTGAACAATTTTAAACACGAACTTTTTCTGCTGCGGCATCTTCACTTAAGCTGAAATTAAAAACTGTATTTTCATAACAGAGAGGTCTGGTGTGCCGCTCTTTGTCAAAAAAAAAATTTGTAAATTTATTTTTGACCATGAATAAACAAACCTAAACCTAAACCTAAACTTACTATTATCGCAGACGGCTTTTTAAATCAGCTTCACACAAAACGCGTTAGAGTTATTGTAAATCAACGCCAGATTTCTATTTATATCAACCAAACTTTTATAACTTTTTATTTCTGATTATAGTTTTTATTAAACTTTATTACTTTAGTAGTTCTATCTAAAACAAACGAATCAATAACTACAAAACTACGATATGTATTCAAATAGATAAAGGCTTGTCGTTATGTTATAGTTAGCAACAGTCGTTATGTTATAGTTAGCAACAGTCGTTATGTTATAGTTAGCAACAGTAGTATAATAGTAATAATATCACTAACTGAAAAGTTATGGTATGTATACAAATCACAGTTCTGTATATAGTTCTGTATATCGACTGCCTATAGATTAATAATTATGTTTTACAAAGCTACAAAGCTATATTATATAGCTACCAACATGTTGCTTTAAAATTGCTAAAAAAATATCTGCAGTACGTGTATCTTATTTGCTATAGCGATAGATTACTATAGTCGCGTAGTGGCTTTAGAGTTATCGTTATGTAGTAGTTTGCAACAACATTGCTAGCTAAAAAAACTACCATATGAAGCCATCAAATAGCTTTAGATTTATCGTTATGTTGCATTTAACTGCATATCTACGATCTCTAGCAATGGTTGCATCGTAATGGTATCGCTAACTACAAAGTTGCATTCTAGTTTCTAGTTAGTTTTATTTCGTCAATATGAATATATTTTACAATGTTATCCTTAAGTTTTATAAAATATTTATAATTACAATCTGACTGGGCAAGTAGAAGACATTTATAATTCTTTTAAATAAATGTCTAATCATCAAGCCCCGTCAAGAAATAGAGAAAAATAAAATTTTACAAGTTCGAATATTCGGCAAAAGAGTGAAATTAAACAGTTTGTAAAAAAAATTAAAAGTTGGTAAAAAATTTAAAGGTTTGCAAAAATCTTTCAAAAATAATAATTTACAAATCGGTACATATTCGCAAAAGGCCGGCGGGATAGGGGGGCGCGGGAGGTGTGACACCCCCCATAAATGATTTTTAGTCGGCAAATATGACCCTTAGTCGGCAAATTTGATCCTATTTGACTAGTTAGTCGGCAAATGTAGACTCTTTCGATAGGTTAGTCGGTAACTTAGACAGCCAGTCGGCAAATATCGTTATGGCAGTTGGCAAATTTTCGAAAACGAGGACCTTTTTTCTTTTTTTTTAGTCGGCAAAAGTTGTAATGGCGTCCCCCCCCCCCACGTGACACCTACATGCGCCGGCCCTGTATATGTAGGGGAAGTTGGGGTACAGTGGATCGAGGGGATCAGTAAATAAGAGGCATTTTTTCAAAGATTCGAATTTGTTCATCTTGATAATGTAATCATTTTATGTCCTCATATATCAGCCATCTTTATTTATAGTTGTTACCACAGAATTTATTTCTTTTTGACTACCGGTTTTTGGTAGGTAATTTTTGTTTTTAGCTAACTAAATTAAATTCTTTTACCGTTCTTATGTTTGTTATGGAGATCATGGTTGAAATAATTTCAAAAGTTGAAGTTTTTCATTCGGATTATTAATATTTATGCTTCCTTTTAATAGTTTAGCTTTTCTTTTAACAACACTCATGTCCCAAGAAATTAAACTTAAACTTAAATTGTTATGGTGAGGCACAGTGAATTGGGTACAGTGAATAGGTTGTTTTTTTTATATATATAGGTTGATTTACTATATCCCATTAATGATCTTATTCATTTATTAAGTGCAGATTAAATTCATGCACTTTTAACAAACAAACTACATGAAAATGAATTTATTAGTTTTTAGTTATGAATAATAATATTTGAATAGTTTTTTTATTTTTTAGTATTTTTATAAGTTTTGTTACCAGTAAAATTAATTTTTTTTTTCTTCTTAATTTTCAATGTCTATCTTTTTTATTATATACTAATTTAATTATTAAAAGTATGCCAAAAGTATAGTGTACAGTGTCTTTACTCCCTCAGCCTCAAAATTATTTGGCTATGTCCCTTTCACTATAATTAATTCACGGCTGTGATCATTTATTCACTGTGTCCCAGTACTGGGACACAGTGAATAACAAAACACAACTCACTTTAAACGATTCCTTGAGCCGTTAGATAATAAATATTTGGGTTTTAGTAATTTATTATCATGAAGGTCATATATCTCAATTCTTTCGCCTTGATAAAATTAAAATACATATTTAGCATTATTTAAAAAAATAAAGAAATCCGATCCACTGTGCCCCAACCTCCCCTATTGTAATATAACGTAAATATAAAAATAATGTATTATATAATGTAAATATAAAAATTTACTAATCGGTACATATACGTATACAAATTCAATACAATACGTAATATATATTTATATATATTTAAATATTTAAAAGAAATTTAGAATTTAAGAAGATTCAAAACATTTCAAAGATTTAAATTCATATATTTATATTTAAACATTTTATTCATAAGATGTTTTATCTTGAACATAATCCCAAGAGTCTTTGAAACTTTATTCTTGACTTTATTTGGCTTTTCCTATTTAAATGTTCATCAAAAATTATTCCAAGTATTTTCATTGAAAAAACTCTTTTTATTTTAATATTGTTCATTGTTAGTTCTGGTAGTTGTTTAAGTGAAGGGTTTCATATTTAGATGGTTTAGCAAAAAAATGTATTTCGTTTTGTCAGTATTCAATGAAAAATTATTTGCTATAAACCACTTATTAAAATATATGAGTTCTACATTATGAAAGATATTTTTTAAATTTGATTCTGAAAAGGAAAACATTAGTGTCATCAGCAAAGAATAATAAAACTAAGTAATTTTGAGGACAAGTAAATATCATTTATATAAATTAAAAACAGTAAAGGTCCAAGTATTGGTTTTACTGATTCTGCAACTTACTGATTCAAATCGTGTGCATGCTACTCTTTGTTTATGGTATCATATGGTACTCTTTGTTTACAATTTTCTAAATAAAATTGCAGCCACTTTAAGTAAGAGTGAACTACTCCATAATTGCGTAGTTTACAGATAAGAACCTTGTGGTTGACAGTATCAAATGCTTTAGATTGATCTAGAAAAATTCCAAGTGTGTAACTATTGTTTTCAAAACCATTCAAAATTTGGTTCGCAAGATCAATTATTACATGTTCCGTGAAATGGTTTTTGCGATAATCAAACTTTTTATGATAATGAATTTTATTTTTTTTAAGATAATTGTACAATCTGTTGTGGATAATTCGCCCTAGTATTCTGAAGAAACAGAAAAGTATGGAAATTAATTAATGGTTAGATTTTTAGCCATCGACACATATTTATCGTTATATTGTTGCTAGCTACAATGCTGCAATATGTAACTAAGGATATTGTAAAATATATTTGAGAATACTAACGATAACTAAGGATATTGTAGTAATATTGATAACGGCAAAACTGCAATATCCATATAGCGACTAGGTTTGAGCTTCGACAGAAAATTTGCCGGTAAATTGGTAAAATTGTTTTACTAATTTAGTGGTGATTTACTTTGATTGAAAACTGGGAAAAACATTGTCTGCTCATTTACGGGTGGAGCTTCCATAATGCTTTAGTTTAAAACTGGTTTCAACTGAACATCAAACGTGCTATACCTATGGAAAACATTTGGCATGCGGTAGTGGTAGAGTGCTCATTTCATTAGCGAAAAGCTCCGAGTTCAATACTCACCACGTCCCTGCTAGTACTGCGCTCAACTTGTTCTCCTTAAGGTCTTATCACAAAACACCGCGGAAGAGCATTTGAAAGGGCATTTTTCACGCTTTCTTCCTTACAGATGTTTTAAATTTTGCTTAATTTTGAAACAAAATCAAATTTCATATGAATTTCTACAATTTTTTTATTTTTTACGGGCTCTACCCATTTTGATTGATTTATAGTCACTATATAAAGTTGGTAAAACTGTAATAGGGACAAGTCGTAATAAAACTGCAATGTTACAAGTTCAGTTATTATAAGTATATATACTTATATTTAATATCAAAAATTTACCATTTAAAAAGGAAACATTAAGTAGAAATGTAAGATAAACAATCGCTATGAAGTTAGCTATTCGCTAACTAGTCCC